TTTTCTGAAAGATAATAACAAATTAAAACTTATTTTTCAATAAAATTTATTCAATTTTTTTCAATAAATTTATGTCCCTATTTCATATAAATTAAAATTAGATTTTTAGGAGATTTTGATAAAAACTGATAAAATGTGTGGTTGGAAAGTTGTTATTTTCATAAATATATGGTAAAAATTAGTTGTTAACTTTGATTCAGAGACTTAAAGTTTCTTTGTTAATTTTCTTCTGGTTTAATTTATTTAGGTTCGACTTATCGATCATAAAATATCTTAATTAAATGTCAAGCTTCATTCACATCTTTCATTTAATCTAACACGAGAAATTGAAATTACTATTTTATAGTCAAGATGATATAAAGAATACCTATTAAACTGTAACAAAATGACGTAGGACAATTTATTTATAAATATGACAGGATTATTTAGCGTCATAGTATGATTTTATTTCTTATTTAGACTAGACTTTGTATTCTTTTTGGTCTTTTATTACTTATTCATTACTTATCTTCCTTAACCCATTGGGATTAGGATAATATTTTGTCTACATCACTTTCTAATCATCAACTTCAATACAAACAAATTATTTCTTACAAATCTTCGAGTTCTACAAATTTTCTTCTTGTTTTCAATAAACCAAATCCAATTCCAATTCCAATTCCGGACAACAAAATTAAGATTGTGAGGCCATTTAAAAACATATTAAAGTTTGATGATTAACCCTAAACAAACTATTACATTTGACTAGGAGAAGAATTAAATTCACATATACACAAAGACAGAGTCATGCTTGATGTACAAAAGAAATTTTCACATAATGCTGTCAGAATACACACATAGAAGGGTGGGAAGGGTATTTTTTGGCAATTTTTTTCATGATGGGCCCCACATCATGACTATTCTGACAACATTATGTAAGAAGTTATTCTCTACATATGAATTTATCCCAAAAAGACACTTCTTTGAATAAGAGGAAACACATGACGAGGTCTCATTTTTCCTAAAAATAAGGTGGTCATCCCAAAGTTTTTGGACATACGGATTCCACTCGTCATCAAAAAAATTCTTCCCCCTCCCCTCTCTCTCTCTCTCTCTCTCTCTCTCTATAGCACGCATTCACTTTCCCAGTTTTGCAATTTGTTCTTGTCTGTGAATCTATTTTGCCTCTCGTTTTGGCAACAAGAGTCGGTAATGGAATAGTCTTTTGATCGACTTTCGACTTTTTAGCCCCTAGGCTGACAGATTATAGTTTTGGTTCGATGTAGATGGAGATGGAGATATAGATATAGGTTCGTGTATGCTTTCTCTAGTACCCCCACCCCCACGCCACGCCACTCCATATCATATAACTCTTTTTTTCATCTTCTTCTCCAATTTCTCTCTCTAAAGCATTCTCTCTCATGCACAAGATGAAGAACGTCCAAGATGAAGAAAAACAGAAAATAATTTCATTTTTTAAGCTTATAAATTCCCAAGGATATCTTCATAGTGTCATATACTTTCTTATCTTCGGTTCTGGCTTAGTCATTGGAATTACGTTAAGTTTTTATCTCAAAGACTTGCCCTTAAACTTGCCACTTAAGGAATTCTCCAACATCGAATCCCCACCACCTTCTCCACCACCGCCGCCGCCGCCGCCACCACCATATCTGCCGCCTACACAACCAATTGCAGATAGAGTCGGATTGGAAGAATTTCTCAAACCATCACCACCTATGCACGATATGACGGAGGAAGAACTCCTATGGCGAGCTTCCATGGTGCCACGGGTACGCGGTTTTCCTTTCAAGCGTACCCCAAAAGTTGCATTCATGTTCTTAGCCAAAGGGATTCTGCCATTGGCGCCTCTGTGGGAGAAATTTTTCAGAGGAAATGAAGGATTTTATTCCATTTATGTGCATTTTTTGCCTTCCTTCAATGGAACAATACCTGAAGATTCAGTATTCCATGGCCGGAGTATTCCAAGTAAGGTAAGTTAGTTTCGAAATATTGATTAATTTTCTTGTTTTCTGTTACATATGCATTGAGATCTATGAATATTATGATGCTTAAATTAAGTAATTATATTTAAGTTTGATCAATGCATTAATTTTCTTGTTGATGTTTAATAGCATAATATTTGTGGACAAAATTATTTAATTTTTGCTTCTTACAATCCATTGGTCTGCCCTTTTCATGCATTGTGTATCAACCTTGAGTTATGTTATACGTACAATTAGTTTGTCAAAAAGTTTGATGGATTATTGCGTGCCACCTCATCATCCGTTAACAAAAGCGTAAACAATTTCTGCATAAGGAGCTTAATTAATTGATAAACCTTTAGCTATACCATTCTTTGATTCTACTCCTTTTGCATTTGCTTCCTACTTTCTCAAATTCTTTTCTTCTTGCTCTCTCTTCCTCTCTCTCTCTCTTTTACATGGAGAAACACATTACTCAAGCGGGACTTTTTTATTACAAATTTGACCTTTTTCAATCATATTAAAACATGTTTTTAAAGGTAGAATATGTAGAATACTTATAATCAACATAGGGCTCATAGGTACTATCCACTTCTCTATCACTCATTTACCACTGTTTATAAACACTCTGTCAGACATCCTAAATCTACAAACTGCTAATATTACTTCTAGCCTAGCCTTTGCTTTGGTGGGCCATTCCGGCCCAGATCTCCAAACTTCCGACTATCATACCAGGCCTCGTTTATTTTAATATATTGTTTCCTGTTAGGCATGTCACATGTGACTAGCACGATGTGTTTTACACCTTCTACTCTTGTCGCAAATTTATAATGTACATATTACACTGCATTAAGATTGACAAAATTGTCCTACATAACTGTTATTTACATCAATAAAGTAATGAAAATAGAATACAAATTAAGATATCATTTTTACAATACTTAAAGCATCCAAAAATTTAACTTATTTAATCAACATATGCAGAAAGTACAATGGGGAGAATTCAGCATGGTGGAAGCAGAACGCCGCCTCGTCGCCAATGCTTTACTTGATATCTCAAACCAAAGATTTGTTCTTCTCTCAGAGGCATGCATCCCTTTGTTCAACTTCAACACCATCTATACTTACCTCATCAACTCAAAACATTCATTCGTCGAATCTTACGACCAGTGGAGTCCGGTCGGCCGCGGCCGATACAACAAGCGGATGAAGCCACTGGTCAAAATTGAGCAATGGCGGAAGGGCGCTCAATGGTTTGAGATCGATCGCGATTTGGCCATCGAATTCGTCTCGGACCGAAGATTCTTCCCATTGTTCAAAAAATACTGCCGGCCTCCATGCTACTCGGATGAGCATTACTTGCCCACATATATTACCATGAAGTTTCCAAGGAAAAATTCTAACAGGACTTTGACTTGGGTTGACTGGTCAAAGGGTGGGCCCCATCCCACAAAATTTTTGAGAACAGAGGTTACTGTGGATTTGTTAAACAAGATGAGGAGTCAAAAGCAATGCACTTACAATGGGAAGCCCACAAACATTTGCTATTTGTTTGCCAGGAAATTTACACCAAGTGCTTTAGATAGGCTACTGAGGTTTGCTCCTAGTTTCATGAATTTTGGTTGAAAGATAAGATTACACATATAAATTTAACATTGATTGATGTATTTTTATTTATTTATTTATTATTTTTTTTTTCTTGAGGAAGAATTTGTGCATAAAATTCTTTGTCATTATCGATTCAAAATATATTAATTAAAGATTTTTTTAAAAAAAATTTTTTGGTGACTTATGAAAAATGAATCATTTTGTCTTGTCTTTGGCACGTAGACGTAGTTCGACACTCTTGTATGTAAAATAATGACCGTCTATGTAGGAGTGAGCACTTTTTTCCAAAATCGGTGGAACCGAATCGGAACCGTTTAGAACCGGCCGGTTCGGTTCCGAATTTTCTAAAAAATAATTTGATTTCGGGACAAATTTTTTAGAACCGATCGGTTCCGATCCGATTCCCAATTCTAGTATGGGAACCCTGGGAACCAGACGGTGCTCATTGGATTTTTTCTTTTTTTTTCTTTTGGTTAAAATATATGACTCAATCTCCAATACTTTTCTAAAAAATAATTAGGTTCTTTCTTAATTTTAAACTCCAGCACTTTCCTTATTATCTTTGATTCTTTTCTTGTCTCTTTTTATAATTCTTTGATTAATTGATTTTCAAGCCAAATTAGAATATATATAAATTTATTTACAATATATAATTTTATTTATAAGATGCAAAATTTTTATTTTGTTTTCGTTTTGATTACATGATTTTTATTGTGTTTTCACTTTGTACATCTATACCTAAATAAATCTTTGAATAATATGTTCAGTTCTTCTATATTTTGTTAAAAGTATCACGTTGGTAACATTTTTAGAGTTTTTATTAGTGAGCATTTTATTTTGACATTTTCAATGTAAGGAACTGGACCAGACCGAATCGAAATTAATTGGTTCGGTTCCACAGTTAGCTATGGAACCAATGGTTCCATTTTTAAAATTCTCATTGGTATTTGGTTCGGTTCGATTTCCTTTGGAACCGGACCAAACCGGACTGCGCCCACTCCTACGTCTATGGCATGAATATTCGAGATGACATACATGTATTCATGTTGTGCATATATGGAAAGAATGTAAATCAAAACTAAAGAAAGATTTAAGGCTTTGCATAATACATGCGGTTATCCTCAGACGATAATATAATCGATTGAGATAAATGCACATGAGAGAACTCATGATATATAAGGTCATGTGACGAGGACCTCGACATTTATCGAGAGGTGTCCTTGTATACACATGGTGGAGTCAAGTTCCTCGTTGGCTTGGCTTGGGATTGACCTTCTCTAGTGTTGATTAAGAAAAAGTTTGTTAGATATCGTCAAGAATTATACTTTTACGATAAAAAAACAATATTTCAATCTTAAATCATAAGAAAATTTCATAATTCAATTAGTTTCTTACTTCAGCTTTCCATCTCTACTTCTCCAATTGAAGATGAATATTTTATGTTTCAGAGATCATAGTTTTGTTAAAAGTCATGCTAGTTCAAAAACACGAGACAAGTTCTCTGAGCTTGTTGAATGTATGTTTTCTAGATTCAATGTTCAATTTTAGTAGAATGTGATAAAGTTGTAAAGCTTTTATTGATCTTGTGGGCTTATATGTGAATTATTGTGTATTAAATTAAAAGCCAATCAAATTTGGTTAAGCCTGCTTAAAGTAATCTGATAAAGTTTAGGTATTTTGGATTTTAATGGATCTAATTAAAGTATGGACTTTTATATGTAGAGACCAGGCCATTGTTTCTAATTTCATTAGGGACCGAATTAGCTTAACAAGCAATCGATATATAAATACAGTTATGGTCCTCGAATCACACGTATTGCTCATCATGTTCTGGCTCCCACCATCAAAGAGAAAAAGGGATTACGTGTTGATTTGGAAAAAATAACCGCAAAATTCAATTGTTACAATTAATCATGTCTGATTTAGGTCCGCTTTGGTTCATGTGTTCTTAATGATCCAACATAATAGATTTAGTTATTTTGATGGTAACAATTTTTTTGCAAGTGGTATTAGAGCCACTGTTGACATACAAAAAGTTCAGTCCAAATCGAATAGCCTAAGAAATGAAGCCCAATTGGAAGATCCCCAAATCAGATAGCCCAAAGAACGGCCCAATCAGGCAATTCAGGATAAAGTCCCAAACAGGGAAAACCATGAGCGCGGTAATACCATCGTCCAAGCTTGCAAGTCGCCCAAGATTTGCACGAATGGATTGTCATGCAGTCGCCCAGAGCTGTGACCCTGTTCTCGCCCAAACCTTCGAGTCGCCTAGGATCTTAGCAAACATAAGATGTTATGGTTACCCAATAGTGCGGTTAATGAAGCAGTTATTGAGTAGCCCTATCACGTTCCACAATTCAAGGAATTCAATTGAAGACGGTTGACCTTATATTTGATAAATTATATAAGGATAAGCAGATAAAGTTGAGCGATAAGCATAAATTGCCAAACCCTGAACAAATTAAGGGTAAAAAATATTGTAAGTGGCATAATGCATGGTCACATTTGACTAACAATTACTTGGTTTTTCGTCATGTGTTACAAGATGCCATTGAATCATGACGAATTACGTTCGATGATAAGAAAAAGATGGCAGTGGATGAAAATCCTTTTCCACAGCCACTTGGAGTGAATATGGTGACGTCTGGTTTCGAAAATAAGTTGTCAAAATTCAAGTTGGTTATAGATGATGGAGGAGAAGACCCTGGACCACATCCCAGTGTCTTTGAGCGTATTAAAAGGAAGGAGCCAAAAAAGGATAAAGACGTCTTATGTGCAAGATGTAAAAGAGAAGTGAGAGGGAATACAAAGAAACCAGGGATATGGCAGCATCCCCATCGCCCTACTTTCTTCCCAAACGCTCAGCCTGGTACAGGGTGAGGTACATCGTTCTATAAGGGACCGCCTTTTGAGAGGCAGTTCAGGCCAGTAAATAATGGGAGAACATTCAGGTCGCAACCTCGCCAACCAAATGTATGGCATTCATTCCAGTATAATGCAGGAAAGGATACCCTTTAACGAGATGACTAGAACCCAACAAAGGCGTTTCCAATGAAATTATGGACGAATGATGAGGCAACAACAGGGAGTGCCACGTCCTAAGGCTCTTAAACTACTCGAGGTAGCCAATCAAAATGTTCTCAAAGACAGTGAAGAGACTGGTACAGATGAATCAATGAAAGAGTTGCCAGAAACTTTTTCTGGAAGATCGAAGTTTGAGCGAGACAGAAGGGATGGAGAAGATCCAGATCAGCCCCTTACTATTCAGTTCGGTACGTTACCTCCTGTCGTGGCTAATAACTATTTACTAGCCAATGAGTTCAAGAATAAAGAGAAAGAAGAAGAAGAAAGAGAGAATAACGAAGGAGAAGCATGCGTGCTGGAATATGAAGAATGCCAGATTTCTAGAGAGGCCTACAATGGTGAGGAAGATGATGGTATGACAGACATTGAAGAGAAAATCGATCTGAAAGCAGAAAGAAGAAGAAGAAGAGTGTCGTACAATACTCTATTGAAGCAACTACATCGAGAGGGAGTTCGTGAAGTAGACTTATTGGGAGAACCATCTGGACGTTCTTTCAATTTTTACGTGCTGTATAGGATGCTCAAAAGGAAGAAGAGAGTGCCTCGCTCTAAAAAGTATGGATCACCTCCAAGAATAATGCCTCCTCCCACAGGTTGGGTAACTGAAGATGAAGCACTAGAAAATAGTAAAAAGGAAATTCAGGAGACAGAGGCTCAGTGCGATATGCTGCACGTTGACTTATCACAAAAGGATAACTCGACAGAGAACAAGCAGGAAGTAGAAATAAAGACTGTCGAAAAGGTTATTTTTAAGCAGCCAGCCATGAAATTGACTAAACACTTGAGGCTATTGTACGTTAAAGCTCTAGTTAACGGCATACCTGTGGCAAAAGTGATTGTCGATAATGGAGCAACTATAAACACCATTATATCTAGGATGATGAGGAAATTTGCAAAGATAGAAGGGGATATGATTCCAATAGAAGTCATCCTTACAAGTTTCAATGGAGGAGCAACTGCAGCTAAGGGAGTTATGCCATTGGACATAACTATAGGGACAACTACTAGGACCACAGTCTTCTTTGTAATAGATGGTCCTACTAGTTACAATGTGTTACTAGGAAGAGATTGGATACAGGAAGTCGCTGTATACCCTCATCGCTCCATCAATGCCTGGTTTTTTGGAATAACAAGGGCGAAGCAGAGGTAGTGCAGGCCGATCATAGGCCTTTTGTCGCAGAAGCCAACTCAGTGGAAAGGTTCATGTACGAAGGAAACTATGGACCTGTCAGGATAGTCCAAGATGGGGAAGAAACTCAGATTGTCGCGCAGAGTGAAGAGCCATTTTCAGTGGACGCACTCACTGAAATATTCAGTCAGATGAGGCCAAATATAGTGGCCCTAGAAGAGCCAGTAATTGGTAAAAGAATAATCAAGGAGTCTTGAATGAGTTCTAAACAACAAAAGCAAATGGCCGATATTTAGGCCTTCAAGTCAAATTAATGGCTTTCAATAAAGAATGCAAGAACAAGACGAAAGAAGAGGCAGCCCTGAAAGCGTTGAAAGACAAATTAGCAGTATTCGAATTGGAACAAAGTATTGGCCGAGAAGTCAACAAGGTGGATTGTTTAGAAGAAGAAGTGCCTACAAGGGAACTGGACGATGAAGTAATGCGGATCATCAAGCCTGGATACACTCAAGCGCAAGACCCTCTGATTAAAGTAAATATTGGCAATGAAGGAGAAGATCGTCCAACATTCATCAGCCAGATGCTCGATCAAGAGGGTAGTGATAAATTAATCGCTTTGTTAAAGGAGAATAAAGATTGTTTTGCTTTGGAATATGAACAAATGCCTGGTTTAGATAGAAACTTGGTGGAACATAGATTGCCAATTAAGCCTAATTTTAAACCTCATAGGCAACCTTCCAGACGTTTTGCTCCTAATGTACTCCTTGAGATTAAAAAAGAGATAGAGCGATTATTAAAAGCAGGCTTTATTAGAACAGCCAGGTATGTCGAGTGGTTGTCTAATGTCGTGCC